ATTATTTTCTTTTTTCCTCTCTTTTATTATATTCCAAGTATTTGAACTTATGGCTTACATAAGCTATGTATTACATAAATAAATTTAGAATAAAATAATTTTCAAGTGAAGCAAAGAATTATTACTTCGACTCTAAAAAACTACAATATACTATCATCGAGAGCGAGACATATAATATAATTGAACGATCAAACGAGCCCGCCGAAGGCGGGCGAAGTTCGGTCGAAATTATATGAAATGTCTGGCTCGAAGATGATAGTCTCCCTCCCGTAACCCATATAAAAAAAAAAAATATCTTCCTATATTACAAAAAGATATCGCCGCCTCCGCCGCCGCTGTTTCAATAATTCTTGACCTAGGAGGGGGGAGTCCCCCTCCTAAATTTTGAGGTTATGTTCGTTTCAAGGCTCTGAATTTAGCCGCAAGTCCCCCTCCCTCACCCTCCAGAAATGACCTAAATTTTGAGGTTATGTTCGTTTCAAGGCTCTGAATATAGCCGCAAGTCCCCCCTCCCTCCTCTCATTTCCCCTCCTCCGCCAAAAATTGACCTAAATTTTGAGGTTATGTTTGTTTTAAGTCCCTAATAAAGCAGTAAGTCCTTCCCCCTTCCCTCATCTCTCTCTGTATTACCCGCCAAAAATAGGGGGGTTGGCGGAAAATACAGAGAGAGATGAGGGAAGGGGGAAGAGAGGGGGACTTGCGGCTATATTCAGAGTCTTGAAACGAACATAACCTCAAAATTTAGGTCATTTTTGACGGAGGAGGGGAAATGAGAGGAGGGAGGGGGACTTGCGGCTAAATTCAGAGCCTTGAAACGAACATAACCTCAAAATTGAGGAGGGGGGACTCCCCCCTCCTAGGTCAAGAATTCTTAAAACAGCGGTGGCGGAGGCGGCGGCGATATCTTTTTGTAATATAGGAAGATATACATTTATATATGCCCGCTATCATCTTCGAAAGTGCTAAGTAATAATTCTCAGCACTAATTACAAAACAATATGAGGAAATAGGGGCGCTGAGGCGTGAATGCAAATGGCGGCTATAGCGCCAAATTTTGAAATTTGGCTTTAAACGTTGTGATGTGAAGCATGACAAGCATGACTACAATATACTATCATCTTCGAGCGAGACATTTCATATAATTTGGAGCGAACTTCGCCCGCCTTTGGCGGGCTCGTTTGATCGTTCAAATATTCGCAAACGATTCAATGTAGATAAGCGATTTTAAATAAATTTTCGAAACACAGAATTAGTCTATTAATATTGTCATGTTATTTTATGTCCACTGTAATCCACATGAAAAATACGTACATTCAAGAAATTTTAATAACATTGATTGCTTTCTAGTTTATAACATAGTTTTTTTAACATATCAAATTGATATAAAAAACATATCAAAATTGTTGCGATGCAACGTTTTTGTACGTTTTTTGTCTGAATTTGATGTGCTTACAACAATTGTGAAATTGTATAAAGAAACACAAAATAGCATTTTTAGCATTAAAAAAACTTATATTAAAAGAAAATTAGTGACTCGGTATCTAAGACGTTTACTCTGTAGGCTTCGATGAGACATTCCGAATCTTCATCTTTTGATACTTCAATAACATCTCAGGGATATCCTAATTTTCGTTTTACGTAATATCCACGTAATGTAGTAGTTTCATAAATTTTCAAGTCAAAGTCAAATTTAATGTCAAAAGTCAATGTCAAAGTCCTTATCAAATCGAAAGTCAAAGTGAAATTACAAAATCGCACCCCAGCTATTAGTTTACGAATAATAAAATTAATTAATTTGAACATAATTTTTTATTTCAATTTACGCAAATTAAAAAAAAATTCACTTAGAAAAGACACTTTAGCTTAAAAGTGAATATTTTTACTGATTTTTTCTTTTTTGCTTCCTCGTGGAGGAAGCTATGTAGTCCTTTCGTTTATAAAATTTTTAAAAATGGTGAAAACAAATTTTCCTCTATATAGAAACATGTTATATGAGATCCTAATCAATTGTCCGGATGTATGTATGTGTGTGTGTATGTGTGTGTGTGTGTGTCTGTGTGTGTGGATAGTTTTTGTGAACACGATATCTTTAACAGGTTTTAATGGATTTGGGTAAAATTTGGTAGGCTTATTTAACACATTAATCTCTCAAAAATGACGAGAGGATTTTTAAAAATACCCAAAAAAAAATTTTATCGTGTTTTTTCCAAAAATTTTTTTTTAATTGACAAAATTTTTAAATCGAAAAATTTAAGGTAATATATAATATAATCGTCTTCTTTATGTAAAGATGAATCGATTGATATAGGTATATAAAGTATAGATTTGATTGAAATTTAAAGAATTAATGAAAGTTAAAAAATCGAAAATTCTCATTTTAGCTAAAAAATGATGTGTTTATTTAAATTCATGTTTATATATGAAATAATTTTATTCCCTGCATTGAAACGAATTGGTTGGTATATATAAAGTATAGATTTGATTTAAAATTTGAGAATTTAATAAAAATTGAAAAATCGAAAATTCATATTTTAGCTAAAAAATTTTGTGTTTTTTTAAAATTCAAGTTGATGAATAAAATAATTGTATTCCTTGCATTAAAACGAATCAATTCGTATATATAAAGTTTATGTTACACTCAAAATTAATTAAAATTTTCTTTATTTTTCAAAAAATTTAATTAATTTAAAACATTTTTAACTCGAAATTTTTTAAATCAATCAATTGAATTGGACAAATTCATTGCTTCCTTCACGAGGAAGCGAATTTTTTGCTTCACACAATGAGGAAGCATAATGTTTATGAAATAAACATAAAGGACCCCCTCCTTGTTTCATATGTATCCTCACGGATTAAATTCCATATGTAGTCGTTCATCGTGGAAGTATCCCATGATACCTAGTAAGAAATTCGCTTGAAATTGAAATTGACAGAATCAAATTACCAGGTACAAAAGATGAAAAAAAATATAAAATACGAAAAAATCTTTCGTAGTATGTAGTTCTAAGACTTTGAAATATGCTAAAATTCGTGTTTTTGAGACCTTTAAACGCATAAAAAAGTAAAATTGTAGTAACATTAACAAATCCAGTAAATGATTATTTATAATAACTGGGTGGTTAAATAATTTGTTTCCTGAATTAACAGTGTAAAACAAGATCGGAGTTTGCTGGAATAATGTAGTGTTGACGCCTATGGAATCTTCTGCTTTTTGCCGGCTCGCTAGCTTCACCGTGCCAAAAATAAGGATAAATTCGGATTTAGAAAGAAACCTGCAAAAAAATAAAGACTCAACATCTGTTGACATCATGTTTTTGGAAATAGAGTTTTCATTTTCTGAAAAAGCAAACGAGGAAAACTCGAAGGTTGATTTAAAAGAGATTGACAAAGAATACATTATTTCTGTTTCGGAAAAGGAGTACACAGAGGAACTCAACGCGGAAGAGGAGTATACAGATGCAATTGCAAAATCTCCTCGTAGAATTTCAGATAAAAATAACAAAGGTGTACTTCCGGACAGGTATACAAGTGGATTATCAAGCAGATCTAAATTAAATATAAAGTTGTTAGAAATATCAAAAATAATCTTTCTCAGGATAAAGGAAATGGGATTCACTGTGATATATACAAGTAAAAAACAAACTTTAATATTTCTTTAATATAAGTATAATTTCACAAAGAATTATGTTCAAATACCCGTGAAGCAATGAATTAATATAAACTAACTTTAATCGCAGTCCTTATTATTTTGATGTGTGAAAACTGAAATATTGAATATTTAAAAACGAAAAAAGGTGACAAAAATCAACTATCCTCGACTGTATTTATTTTGGAACTGAACCTTTCGGTCCTCACAGGTATGAATCCTAGCCATAAAAATCATTTTGACTGTGTATTTACAATCCAGTATGAGTGTTTGTGTGTGTGTCGTTGCAATTTTAAATATATTTCAACACCCTTCGTCAACGATAATCACTTTGATCTAGATTTTTGAATCAATTAAACCGCACATTTCTGATAAATATTTTAGGTTTACTCTACACGGAGAGAAAAATCAAGGCTTTATAGTATGAAAGGCTATTCTGCTACTTCTGTATGAACTTTTCTTACCAATTGAGCAGATATTTGAGAATTTTTAGTATAATATTTGTCCGCACTAAAGATGCATAGTATATATGCTTTTATAGTAAGAAAAATGTGATTTAATAGCAACAACGCCAAGCAGAGATCGCACCTAGCTCATCCTACTACGATTGCAGAAGTTCTTTTTTTCGGTATTAGACTCTTGCAATTGACGATTAGGCCACGCCTTCCTACTCGCCAGTAGACTTTTTCATACTGGTCATTCTGTCCTCTTCCAACTCATGCGTCATAATATGCGCTAGATAATAACAAAACGATCAGCATGAAAAGGTCTGTTGCAAGAGTCTAATACCGAAAAAGCATAGAACTTCTCCAATCGTAGTATGATGAGCTAGGTGCGATCTCCGCTTGGCGCGGCTGCATTTAAGGTATACTAAGTATATAATAAGGGGCTACATGACAAACTTTATCAGCATAGACAAGTTTCATAGTAGAAAGACATAAGTTTATACCAAAATTACTCAAATATTACGCATATGTAGCATATAAAAGTTTTGTGCGTTAAAGGTAATCTTTTCTATACTATAAAACGCTGATTTTTCTCTCCGTGTACCCAATGCTTTTGTTAACATGTCAACTTGCATTTTATATGTAGGACAATATTTAAAATCTACACAGTTTTTATCTTTTAAATCTTCTAAAAAATGATATTTAGTTGCAATATCTTTCGTTCTGTTACTGAATTTTTTGTTTGAAATTAGTTTAAGACAACTTTGATTATCTCCATAGATGACAATTCTATCCTGGGTTTCATTGGGAAAATCTACAAGTAAATTTTTTAACCACATCATTTCTTGACTTGCTACTGCCAAGGCGACATATTCTGCTTCTGTTGATGAAAGTGCGACGCATGATTGTTATCGACAGCCCCAACTTATTGAAGATCCATTAAGTTTGAATAGATAACCACTATTTGATTTTCTATCCTTTCCGTCCTCAGCCCAATCGGCATTCGCAAAACCAATGAGTCCAGTTTTATTATTCTTTTCTCCTAATCTAAGTTCATAATCTTTTGCCCCTTTCAGATAGCGAAACACTCTCTTCACCTCCGTCCAGTCTGCAGTCGATGGCTGTATGTTGTGCTGGCTTAAACTTGATGCTATATCTGGTCTTGAATTTACAGCCAAATATAATAATGCCACAATAGCTTGTTGATATTTTTTTCACTTTTGGGCATTTTATTATCGTCAGTTCTAATCTTTAGGTTACCAACATCCAATGGTATTTGTAAAACTTTAGCATCTTGCAAACCGAATCTTCCTATTAGGGTCAGACCATTATATTTCGACCAAAGTCGTTGCGGCCTAATTTTAAAAAAAATTAAAACTTGCAGTACTGATTCTTTATGATATGCAGAGAACGAAATAAAAAGAATTATTACAAAAATTTCTTTATTTTTCTCAAAATGAGAGTTTAAAGTGGAGAAGGTCTGGAAAACTGTCACTTTTTAGCAATTATAAAATATATAAAAAAACATATAATAATTGTTAAAAAGGTAAAAAGAATTATTGTTTCTTGTTTAGAATAAATTGATTTATTATTTTCTAATGATTAAATTAGTGAAAAAATTAAAATAATGGATAAAATATGTCTTTAAAGTTAGTCTGTCAAATAACCTAATTTTTCGATTTTTATCAGTTAATTACAATTAAGTGGAATTATTAAATTAAATTTGAACTTACCTAATATGAAGTAAATGGATAGGACATTCAAATTTTCTTGGCACTTTCTATATTTTCATACTAAATATAAAAGAAATATTGAGTTGAAAGTTCGCAATTTCTGCATTTTTGCGAAGTTTGCAACTGAATATCTCATTTAAAGAAAAATAAAAAAAATTGGCACTTGCACAGCAGCTAAATCGGATCGAAATCTACGCGCACCATAAATTACGTTTTGGTCCCGAAACTATTTTAGAAGATCCCTCACAACACAAGGATATTTAGGATATCCCTGGGACGTCCTGGGGATATCCATTTGCTTTTGGCGATTCGGATATCCATGGACATCTCTAAGATATCCCAGGGATATCCAAACCGCCGAAAAAAAATCGATATCCCCAGGACGTCCCAAGGATATCCTGAATATCCTTTTGTTGTGAGGGGATATAGGCGATTAAAAATTGCACATTATTTTCAGGTTAAAACTGTACTTGCTTCTAACTTGAAGTTGGTTTACTCTCAGCGATCGCGTTCAATGTTTATATTTTGAAATTGATATAACGGCGAAAATTAAAATATTTTTCAAAATTAGAAAATAATTCGCAGTGCAATCGATAATTAACTATAATAATCTGCTAATATTATTAATAAAGCTGAATTATTTGTGATTTTTGTAAAATCTCTGTTAGATACAAATATTTTAAATTAAAATGAAAAAGTGATTCAAAACACAATTATTCAATCTTGAATGTCAATCAATTATTATTTAATAAATTATGAAAATAATTAACGAAAATAAACATTTAAGTAAGTTATATCAACTTCAAAATCTAAACATTGAACGCGATCGCTGAGAGTAGACCAACTTCAAGTTGGAAGCAAGTACAGTTTTAACCTGAAAATAATGTGCAATTTTTAATCGCCTATATCTTCTAAAATAGTTTCGGGACCAAAACGGAATTTATGGTGCGCGTAGATTTCGATCCGATTTAGCTGCTGAGCAAGTGCCAATTTTTTTTATTCTTCTTTAACGGAGATATTCAGTTGCAAAGTTCGCAAAAATGCAGAAATTGCGAACTTTCAACTCAATATTTCTTTTATATTTAGTATGAAAATATAGAAAGTACCAAGAAAATTTGAATGTCCTATCCATTTACTTCATATTAGGTAAGTTCAAATTTAATTTAATAATTCCACTTAATTGTAATTAACTGATAAAAATCGAAAAATTAGGTCATTTGACAGACTAACTTTAAAGACATATTTTATCCATTATTTTAATTTTTTCACTAATTTAATCATTAGAAAACAATAAATCAATTCATTCTAAACAAGAAACAATAATTCTTTTTACCTTTTTAACAATTATTATGTTTTTTTATATATTTTATAATATATAAATAATAATAATAATTAAAAATAATAAGAAAAATAATAAAAAATTAATAATAATAAAAAGTTACAGTTTTCCGGATCTTCTCCACTTTAAACTCATATTTTGAGAAAAATAAAGAAATTTTTGTAATAATTCTTTTTATTTCGTTCTTTGCATATCATAAAGAATCAGTACTGCAAGTATCAATTTTTTTTAAATCAGGCCGCAACGACTTTGGTCGAAATATAATGGTCTGACCCATTAATTTTTTTATGTATTTCGTTTGCTTGATGCAATAAAATCCACTTTCATTTCTTCTGATTTCTAACTCTAAATAATGTTTCAAAATTCCCAAGTCTGCTAAATTAAATTCTTTGTTTAAAAATTTAGCAACTTCGTTGATTTTATTTATGTCACTTGATGCAATTAAAAAATCATCGACATAAATAATAATATATTTTTTGTCTTTAATTTGCGTTTAGAATATAAGCTAGAGTCAATTTTACTTTATATAAAACCATTATCTGATATCAATTTGTGTAACTCATCATTCCATACCTTAGCTGCTTGTTTAATCCATAGATTCCTTTTTTGAGTATGTAGACACTATCTTCTTTGCCGGAAATGACGTAACCTTCTGGTTGTTGCATAAAAATTGTCTCTTGTAATGATCCGTTTAAGAAAGCAGTTTTGGCTTCGAAATGCTTTATTTTCATATCCTTTATGCTTGCTATTGTTAAGAAGATCCTAAGTGTTGCTTCTCAAACAACAGGTGCAAAAACCTCATCATAATCGGTGCCATACTTTTGAGAAAATTCTCGAGCGACGAGACTAGCTTTATATCTTTCTATATTACCTTCTGCATTTCTTTTGATTTTAAAAATCCATTTGCATGAAACATTATTTGCTTTGATAGGTCTTGAGATGATGTCACAGTTATCATTCTCTCTTAATGACTTTATTTCCTCATCCATTGCTTTCCTCTATTCTTCTTTGTTTGGACCTGACAATGCTTCCGTAATTGTCTTTGGCTCACTTCCTTCAATGACCATTTTCGAGGTGGCCATATAACGTTCCTGGGATACTCCTTTATTAGAACGATCAGAGCGTCTAATTTGGTTTTTTTTTGAATTTCTTCCCTGGATGTATCTTTATTTTCATTTTGCTTGATTTTGTTGAACTTTATTGTTTTTGAGAGGTATCTCAATGACACTGGTTTCATTTGTTATCTGATTCTCGTGAAATTGATTTTATTGATTGAATTTATTATTATATTTATTTATTTTTATTTCTTCTTGATTCCAGTAGTCGAAAGGCTTTTTATTCGTCAGAAAAACCAACAAAAATCAATTTTTCTCCTTTATCATCCAGTTTTCTTCTTTTCTTTTTGTGAATAAGAGCGTATGCTGCGCGTCCAAAGACGTGTAGGTGTCCAACATCTGGTTTCTCGCCATACCACAATTCGTATGGAGTTTTATCTCGAAATTTTGTGAACAATCTGTTCTGTAAATAATTTGAAGTAATTGTTGCTTCTCCCCAATATTTTTTATCTAATTCTGCATCTATTAACATGCATCGAGGCATTTCAAAAAGATATTTGTTTTTTCGTTTAGCAACACCATTCTGTTAGGGTGAATAAGGTGCTGTATATTGCATGCAAATTCCTTCTTTTTTTAAAAAAATATTGTTAATCATTATTGATATATTCCTTTTCTCGATCTGACCTTATGATTTTTGGCTTTTTTTCGCGTTGTACAGCATTCACATGTTATTCTTGTACCACAATCTTTAAACTTTATACCTGAGGCGAGTTCCTTTTTGGCTAATACTTAAATTGCCGCTGGGTCTCGGTTTCCAAATCTTCGATACCAGGCATGTTGACAATCTTTATAATGTTCTTCTTCTATTGACACTTTACTTGACCTAAACGCTTCCGTCTACGTGACTACAAGATGGATCTTTCCATCTTTCAAGATATGTCAATAATCCTCTTCAAATTATATTTTATAGCCATCCTTTGCCAATTTTTGTACCAATAGTATACTAGAACTAAAGGTTGGTACGTACAAAACATCACGTATTTCTATTTCCGAAAAATTTCCTTCCTTACTTTTCCATTTTATGATGCCTGTACCTATTCCTTTTATATTGACAATCTTTTCATCTGCAAGACGGACAAATCCCTTCCTGCTGGAGTCTAATTTTCTAAAAAAATCTTTATTATGAACCATGTGGCTTGTTGCTCCCGAGTCCTTCTGATGTTTTTCTTTCCATGCTTTGTATTTAAAACAATCTTGTTTTGCATGTCCAGATTTTTTACAGAAAAAACAACTTCCTTTAAACTTTGCATGACCTTTATCTTTATTAGATGTTGATTTCATAGCTGTTTCATTGTTCTGTAAACTTTCCCTTACGTCACTTGCCCCTTTACGCCGTGTGTACTCGTCAATTAATTTACTTTTGATAAACTGGCTAGTGATATCTTCATCAGGCTTACTCTCTAATACCGTAACGAGAGTATCGTACGATTTCGGAAGACTTCATAATAACAGTGCTGCTATCAAATTATCAGACAAATCTTGTCCAAGAGCTGATAATTGACTTATGCTATTTGAAAAACTATTTATGTGTGCTTCCATGTCACCTTCTTCCATTAAAACTGCACGACATACTCTTTTTAATAAAATAACCTTACTTGACAATGTCGACTTTTGGTGATAATCTTTAAGTGCGTTCCATGAGTCCTTCGCTGATTTTGCATTCCTAATGTGTGTTAATTGATCATCTTCAACTAGGAGTCCTATCCTTGCATGTGCTTTCTCGTCCTTCTTTTTCCACGCAGCTAATTTAGAAGCATCTGTAGCAGGCAGTTTATCTTCTTCTATCACTTCCCATAGATTATCATCAATATACAAATTGATGTATACATCAATACATGTACACATTTTCTGAAAGTATTGAAAGAAATATATTTGGTTTTAATTTTTTTAAATTAATTTTTATATTAATAATAGTTTTCAAAACTTAAAAAAGATAAAAAAAATATTTTTAAACTTAGAGGTTTTATAATTTTTACGACCAAAAAAAGAAAATGTTTTCTCTTAATTTCTGAATGCAAAGCACATACACACCAAAATCGAAGTCAAAATATTTTCTTATTTATTTTCAATGATCATTATTATTGAATGTTTTATTTTTTAAATATATTTTTTATCAAAATGCAAATTATTTAATTTTTTTTACTTTACTTAGAAAATGATAAGAAAAAAGATAGCACACATAAATATTAAAACATAAGAATAATTTAACAATATTTCATAATACTTACAAAACTAAGAATAAAAAAGGAACATCTAAACTAAATTATTATAATGATCACAATAATTTTTAATAACACCTTCAGATTTGCTTACGTTTATCGTATTTATATTTTCAATATAATACTTTAATTGTTTCAAAACACGGGTACTTACCACTTTTTAACTTAAAAAAAACACAAATTTAAATTACTGAACTTTCGTTATAAATATATTATTCTTGAACTTTTTCATTTTATAAAATTGAATTATTCCAATTTTGAGTTGGGGTAAATGGGGACAAGAGGTTTTGGAGCTTAACTTACAGTTTTAAAATTAAGTTCAACGTCAATATTTTAACCTCAGATCACCTGCAAAAGGTTTTGAGTATTGCCAAACTTTTATCTTGATAATTGGCAGTAAGGTAATTCAAGTTATCGCTCAATGCATAAAAACTTGAAAATCAAAGTTTTTTTTGTTAAAAATAATAAACTCGCAAGTATGACCTTTGAAAGGAACAAACTTACGTAATTTGTGAAAATAGCGATTTTGGCCCCATTTTCCCCAACTGAACTTTCATTTTAACCATATTATTCTTGAATTTTTTAACATTAAAAAATTGAATATTTTCAATTTTGAGTATTGCAAATTTAAATTCCGACTTTTTAAAATTAAATCTCAACTTTGTCATCATTTTTAGGGTTCCGTACCCGAAGGGGGAACCCTATTAATGAGACTAGTGAAGCAAGGCATGTACCCCCCCCCTAGCGGCCACACGAATTTATCTAGAGGGCTGAAATTTGGTATACATATGTATTTTGGCGTGTAGATTACAGGAAAAATATAGCGAATCTCATAGGAATTGATTATCATAGCGTTGTCAAGGAAAAACCATGAATTTTTACGAAAAATCCCTGAAAATGACTATGTACCCCCCCTCTGGTTGCCACATCTTTTTACATAGAGAGCTCAAATTTGGTACACTTATGTATTTTTACGTGAAAATTACAGGAAAAATATAGCGAACATGATTCGGATCAATTTACATAGCGTTGTCAAGGAAAAATCAAAAATTTTGAAAAAAAGCGTTTAATCCACCTAGCGCACACACTATTTGACCAAGACAGTTCATATTTGGTATACTTACGTATTTTTGCGTGTAGATTACAGGAAAAGTATAGCGAGCACGATTGGAGTTGATGATCATATTGTTTTTAAGGAAAACTCATATTTTTAGAAAAAATCATGGATTTTTCGAATAAAAAAGAAGAAAATTTTATCCTAAGAGATTCAAATTTACACTTTTTTACGTATTTTTACGTGTAGATTACAAAAAAAATATAGCGAGAACGATTGGAGTTAACTATCATAGTGTTTTCAAGGAAAAACTGATAATTTTCGATAAAAATCATGATTTTTCCCCAAAAAACGAAGAATATGTTATCTAAAGAGTTTCACATTACAGGAAAAATTAAGCTAAATTAGAATTTTTCTATCGGCCTTCACACTTTAAACCACTGAAATTTTAGGATTAGGGGTACGGAACCCTCGGTTTTAATGCGAGTGTAACTCGCACTTGTCCGATTTTTGAGAATTATTATATTTTCTAAGACTCGCAAAAAATTTTATAATTTTGATTATAAAATGTGCGGATTAGTGAAACATTATAAATAGGATCTTGTTTTATATGTTTCGCTTCGTATTCGATCGTAAATTTTTTGTTTTAATTGTACTATAAATCGTCTCTGTTTTTCTTTTTTCGTAGTTTTTGGTTTTGGAGCAACTTCATCCTGTTTCGCTTGAATTTCGCCATTATAAAAAAATTTTAAATGGTGATACTTGGTGATTTGTGGAATGGGATGAAAATATTGTTTTAAATATTCGACCTATTATTACCAATGCACATTTCTATTTTTTGTTAAAGGATCGATTGTCGGAAGTGATAGGTTATAACCATCAGGCGAGGAAGTGTTCACGACATTGATGAAATCTTGGAAGCAATCAACATTAGATTGGGAATATTTACATTAAAAAGTTCCAAAATTTTTATCGAGACTAAATTTCGTGTGTCCTGTCAAAAAAATAGAAATTTTATTGTTTTTCCCTGACATCACTCCCCACAAAAAATAATGCATAAGAGCATTATTCTTGTTCTGGCCAACACAATTGTCCGATAATAATATTGCCTCATCAGCATGGTGATTATTCAAATAATAATCAATTATGCTAATTACGGAATTGGCACCTTTACCTTCATTGTCTACTTCGTCTATTAAAAAATTGGTCTGAACACCTGTGGACTCATTTTGAACGCCAAAAATGCCACATTTTCTAGGTACTTCAAAATATAACTTCCCGACTTGCTGAGGACTAGACAGATATGACACATTTTGTGCATAATCGAATGACAAGAGAAGACG